GGTCAGCCCACGGGTGGTTGTGCCTGGGCCACCTGAATTTTCAAGTATCTCTGCCAGTGTCATGCCTCCTAATATCATATCCACCAAACTAAGTTGCATGGCTGAGTCCAGAGTCATGGTTGGAGGGCACAGTTATCTGGCCAAGGGCCAGGGATGAGGGAGAAATTAGGGCAACTAGTACACTCTACCACATTCCTGCCTGAGTATTCCTCAACTCTCCTTTCCTTCCCAATCTGCAGCTGGCACCCCCTCTGTGGTGATTCAAGCCTCTCTCCTGGCTTAGATCATGAGCTGTGTTGCTGTACTGCATGTGTGGGTAAGTGGGTAAGGATTTTGCCTGTGGTCCCAGAGCCTAATATAGGAGCTGGTATCCAGAAAGTAATAGTACATGAGGGAGAGAGAAGAGAGTGAAAAGAGAGGAAGTAGGAACACAAATTACAAAAAAGAGAAAACAGGACAGGCAGGTAGTGGAGGAAACAGGACAGGAGAGATGTTGGTAGGGTGGGTTGAGGAAGCACTGATGGTTCAGATTGAGCTAAATTGCCTGCTTATCAGCTTCATGGAAGTATTGATCCATTTGTAGGATTTTTTTTTTTTTGAGACAGAGCCTCAAGCTGTCACCCTGGGTAGAGTGCTGTGGCATCACAGCTCGCAGCAATCTCCAACTCACGGGCTTAGATGATTCTCTTGCCTCAGCCTCCCAAGTAGCTGGGACTACAGGTGCTTGCCACAATGCCTGGCTATTTATAGTTGTAGTTTGGCCAGGGCCAGGTTTGAGCCTGCCACCCTTGGTATATGGGGCCGGTGCCCTACTAACTGAGCCATAGGCGCCGCCCCCATTTGTAGATTTTAAAGCAGTCATTTCTGCATCGAGAAAGAGTCTTTGTGTTTTTATTTGGCATCTCTAAAGGCTGCATTTTCCTTTTGGAATCCATGGCATGAAAGAAGACTTAGGTTATAGAAATTTTCTGTGTACCCTTAGGAGGAGTGATCAATTTGCCACTTATGATCTGAAGTTTTTCCACTACTGAAATATCTCCAATTGCTATACCTTTGAAATGAAGACTGACTGACTTTATAACACACAAAGATTACATTGGAAATGGGCTGTAGAGGCAGACTCTGATATTCTTCTCTTGTATTTATTTTTTCTGGATGAGGTGATTTGTAGTGTTGCAATTATTTTGCATAAACTGAAGGGTGGAAAATATCAATGTTGACAGGGTGGGATGGATTGACTCTGAAATGGCCAGAAGTCATTTGAGGACAAACTCAGATAATATGGCAGGTAAGAAAAGGCAGCTTTCCTTGTGTGACTCAAAGACTTTCAAAAGGGAATCTGTCATCTGTATAGATTTGTTTTGCTTAAGGTGTTAAAAATTGGTCTCTTTATATCTGATGTGATAAATATGTAGGGGGAAAATTTTTTCAATAAATTTATGAACCCTTTCTAGGGGCAAAGGAAGGATTCATCCTCTTGTCCTCAGGTCAGTTCATCTTTTAGGATTAGCTGAAGTAAAACAAGTACATGTCAAATCTACCAAGTGTAGAGTATAAATGTCTTAACACAATAAGAAATTGTGGTGAAGGCTATGTTAACCAGTTTGTTGTATTTCAAATTGTACATAAAAACAGCACAGTGTACCCCATAAATGCATTAATGTATACAGCTATGATTTAATAAAAAACAAAACAAGAAGTCAGGTCTAGTTGGGGTGGGCAAGGAGGCAGCCCAGGGGGTTACAGACCTGGTGACTGGGGTTACTCTCATGCTTATCATTCCTTTGGCTTATCTGTCCCAGTGGGAGGGGTCTGGAAGTAGATCAACCATTCAGCCCAGTGCCAGGCACAGAGCAGGTAGCTAATAAATATTTATTACCTTGAATTGGATTATGGTTTATGATATAGTAGAAAGAGCATGATGCTGCAAGTCAAGAGAACTCGGACTTAAATTGATTTGTAGAAGAACAGGGCAGGCCTCCTTGTTTCTCTGAGCCTCTATTTCCTGACATTCAAAATGGGGGTTTGACAACGGGCCATTGTGAGACCTGGAAGCGTGTGATTCTGGTGATGGTCTTCCTATAGAAGACACTTATCATGCTGCGACAGAGAGAGCATTCTGGAGGCCAAAGGCTAAGGGCAGAAGCTACAACATGGGCAGTGGGGACCAGTGATTCAGCCTGTTCTTAGGGCTGACATCTGAGCAAGACAACTGGGACAGGACTGGTGGCCCAGAAGAAAGGAGCACTGATGATCCCTCACACTCCCACGCCCCTCTCCCCTTGCTGGTGCTGACGACTTTCCTGGTAGGAGATCATACAACAGAGAAAGCCACAGCACACCACCAGCATGTTCTCTGTGGTCAGCAGATGACTTTGCCATAGGGCAGGACTGATGGCTCAGGCATTTCTAGGCACAGGCTGATGGCCTATATGTTTTTTTTGTTTTGTTTTGTTTTTGAGACAGAGCCTCAAGCTGTCCTCCTGGATAGAGTGCCATGGCATCACAGCTCACAGCAACCTCCAACTCGTGGGCTTAAGCGATTCTCCTGCCTCAGCCTCCCAAGTAGCTGGGACTACAGGCACCCACCACAACGCCTGGCTAGTTTTTGGTTGCAGCCGTCATTGTTGTTTGGCGGGCCCGGGCTGGATTCGAACCTGCCAGCTCAGGCGTATGTGGCTGGCGCCTTACCTGCTTGAGCCACAGGCGCCAAGCCGGCCTATATATTTTTTAAGCTTTAGAGAAGGTAGAGGGAGGAAGAGGATTGTGGGGCAGGGGACAGCTATTGATAGAGTCGCATGCTGGCGTCACAGCATGGACAGATGACTAGGGCATGGAGTGGGAGGAGGGAGGACAAGATGTCAGGGCAGGGCTGTGTGATCTTGGAAGTTCCTTTAACCATTCTGGGCCTTGGTTCCCTAATTCAAATGAGATGGTTGAGTTAGATCAAGATTCCCTCAAGTTTGGGGTGGGGAGAAGCATTGGGAGGTTGGGAAGGTGGGTTCTAGGCCTTCGACGCTCACCTACCCTGCACTGCTTTTTTCCTTTCCTGTTTCAGAGTAAATATTGTTTCTATGTAAAAAAGTTTTTTTTGGTCTCTCTGTCTGTTTTGCTAAATCTACCAGTCTAAAGACCTTCTCTTTTGCTCTAAATAGCATAGTATGGCAGTTTTGGGACTGGGGGATCTGAAAAAGCCTGTGGCTAGTGGGGGGTCCACGATGGCTGCAGTCTCCTCTTCTAGGGGATGGGGGTGAAGTAAGGGTGGGATACGATTGGGGGATAGGAGAGCAGATATGGATTTCTTGGAGAAATGTGGACATAAAAGTGCCCACCTTATAAACTTGTTTGGTTAAAAACTAGGGCACACTGTGAGGGCCTTTCAGACACCAAAACATGTCTTCACCTGAGACAGTGCCCTGGCCCAGTCTTAGACTTTTTCCTGTAAATTCTTCCACTGAGATGCCAAAACCTGGGGCCTGAATTCTATGGGTCTCAGTAAAATACACCTGAGTGATCCAGGCCACTAGTGGTCCAGGGCTAGTTTTAGCTCTGATACTGACTAATCAACTTTGACGCCCCCCCC